GTACAACCTCGCAATTCACACAACCATTTAATTAACTACAGAAACTCAAGACTTATCGCCACAGAAGACAACACTCAATACCGAAGAATCCTGGAATCATCTCTTATCTCTATAACCAACAATTTCAACCAGAACAACGGCTTCTATAACATAGCTGAACCACTCGCCAAGAAACTTCTTCATCGCTATCCCACATAGAACATAGAACACTACAGAAGGTCTACTCACAACTTGTCCAATACCCCTGCCAAGCTACCCAAGACTCTATAACCTCGCCCGGTAGATCATCAGATGCAGCATTCTCCACCTGACCTCAACATTCTGAACCTGACTATAAATACTCCCGTACCTTCCACCCCAGGTAGATCTGTGTGTGACTTGAAAAAGCCCACTGTGTGAGCAAAACGTTGTCAATAAAGGATCACATTAAACTGCATATATGTTTATGTTTCCAGATGGTTCTCTCACAGAACCATCTACTGACAAGTCCACTTCCAAATATCTGAACATATTTACTTCCTCCTTGCTCCCTTCCTCCAATCTGATATTGAATCTCTCACTGCCTATATTTTTTGATACTCTCATCACCTTGGACTTTCCTGTTTACTTTTAATTTCCTCCTTTTACAATCTCCGAGATTCAAAACTGGTCATTATTCTAACACCACAAGACTTCAGAAAAGCAATAAATGACATTCCCATGCACTCGGCCCCAGGCCCAGACTCGTGGAACTCCGTGTTTATCAAGAACTGCAAGAAGCCCCTGTCACATGCCTTCAGTATTCTATGGAGAGGGAATATGGCCACAGGAGTCATCCCACAGTCGCTACAAACAACAAACATACCCCCCCCCCCACAAAGGTGGCAGTAAAGCAATTGCAAAGAATTACAGACCTATAGCACTAATGTCCCATATCATAAAAATCTTTGAAAAGGTTCTAAGAAGCAAGATCGCACCCACCTAGATATCCATCAGTTACACAACCCAGGGCAACACGGGTTTAGAGCAGGCCACTCCTGTCTGTCCCAACTACTGGACCACTTTAGATGCACTGGAGGACAAACAAAATGCCGACGTATACACTGATTTTGCGAAAGCCTTTGACAAGTGCAACCATGGCGTAATAGCACATAAAATGTGTGATAAAGGAACAACAGGAAAAGTTGGTAGATGGATCTATAACCTCCCAACAAACAGAACATAAAGGGTAATAGTAAACAGAGTAAAGTAAGAGGCAGCCACAGTTAAAAGCTCTGTTCCACCCCCCATCCTGTTCCTTATCCTCATATCTGACATAGACAGAGATGTAAGCCACAATACCGTGTCTTCCTTTGCAGATGACACCTGAATTTGCACAACAGTGTCATCCATCGATGACAATGAAAGACTCCAAGCGAACATCAACCAAATCTTTATGTGGGTCGCAGAAAACAATATGAAGTTCAATGAAGAGACATTTCAATTACTCTGATATGAAAAACTCGAGGGAATTAAAAGTGTATTGGAGTATAAAACAAATTCCAATCACACAATAGAGCGAAAAACAAATGTGAAGGACCTGAGTGACAATGTCAGAGGATATCAAGTTCAAATATCACAACACAGTATCTAACACATCTGCAAGAAAAAATGATAGGATGAATAATGTGAACCTTCAAAACTAGGGATGCAAAGCCCATGATGATTCTCTTCAAATTACTCATTCTCTCTCTAGACTGGAATATTGCTGCACACTAATGGCTACTTTCAGAGCAGGGAAAATTACAGACCTGGAGAATGTACAGAGAACTTTCATGGCATGTATAAGAACATGAGAAAGAAGGAACACTGCAGCAGGCCTACTGACCCATGTAAAGCAGGTCCATGTCACCCTCTGGCTTAGACCAATGACCCACCTAGTCAGGTCACTTCCACTTAAGGAAAGAGCACAGCATCAGACCTAGTAGCACAAGCTAGTCAGGTCCAACTCACACCCACTCATTTACATGTATTTAACTTATTTTTAAAACTACACGACGTTTTCGCTTCTATGACCGTACTCGGGAGTTTGTTCCACTCATCCATAACACTATTACCAAACCAGTGCTTTCCTATATCCTTCCTGAATCTGAATTTTTCCAATTTGAAACCATTGCTGCGAGTCCTGTCTTGGCTGGAAATTTTCAGCACACTATTTACACCCTCTTTATTTATTCTTGTTTTCCATTTATACACCTCAATCATGTCCCCCCTAATTCTATGCCTTTCTAGAGAGTGCAGATTCAGGGCCCTCAGTCTATCCTCATAGGGAAGATTTCTGATACATGGGATCAACCTTGTCATCCTCCTCTGTACGTTTTCCAGTGCATTTATATCCATTCTGTAATACAGTGACCAGAACTATGCAGCATAATCTAAATGAGGCCTAACCAAGGATATATAGAGTTGAAGAACAACCTGAGGACTTCTACTATTTATACTTCTTGATATGAAGCCAAGGATTCTGTTAGCTTTATTATGAACACTAATGCACTGTTGTCTTGGTTTTAGATTACTGCTAATGAACTCCTAAATCCTTTTTGCAGTCAATAATCTTAAGATCTACATTATTTAGTTTATGTGTGGCATGGTTATTTTCCTGTCCAACATTTAGAACTTTGCATTTGTCTATATTAAACTGCATCTGCCACTTCTCTGACCATTGCATGTCTATTCAAATCATCCTGGAGTGCTCTAATGTCCTCATTAGAATGAACTGGATGGCCTATATTGGTGTCATCAGCAAATTTGCTTGTGCTGCTATTTATTCCCTCATCTATGTCCTTTATGTAAATTGTGAACAACAGGCCCAACACTGATCCCTGCAGAACACCGCTTGTGACGTGCCCCCATTCTGATTTCTCCCTATTTATGCAAACTCTCTGCTGCCTATTTGTCAACCATGCCTCTACCCAGGAAAAAATTTATCTTATTCCATGTGCCTTAAGTTTCCTCAATAGCCTCTGGTGTGGAACTCTATCGAAAGCCTTACTGAAGTCCATATACACAATATCATTCATTACCATGATCTACCTCCTCAAACACCTTAGTGAAAAAAGTTAGTAAATTCGTAAGACAGGAACGCCCCTTTGTAGAACCGTGTTGAGATTCATTAATCAATTTATGCCTTTCAAGATGGCTACGAATTGTTTTGGCAATTGCCAAAACAATTGATTCCATAAATTTTCCCACTATGGAGGTAAGGCTTATTGGTCTATAGTTCGAAGCTAAGGACCTGTCACCTGCCTTGTAAATAGGTATTACATTTGCCATTTTCCACTTATCAGGCACTATGCCAGTTTGTAGTGATATGTTGAAAAGATCAACCAAAGGTTTCGTAAGTTCCTCTTTCCATTCCTTTAAAACTTTCACAAACAATTCATCAGGACCTGGGGATTTGTTAGGTTTTAATTTCTCTCTCTGTCTGAGGACCATGTCACTAGCTACCCCAATCGTGCATAGTTTATTATCGTCCTGTTCTACACAATTTGTTATTTCTGGAATTTCACTAGTATCTTCCTGGGTAAAATCTGAGAGGAAGTAAGTACGTATTGAAAATTTCACACATATCCGTATCACCACTGTCAGTGATCTGACCTGAGTTACTCCTGTAGTTACTTCTGTATACCTGAAGCACCTAAATTACTGAGAATGGTTGAAGTCCCTTGATTTGTACTCCCTGGAATGCAGGCAAGAAAGATACATGATAATATACACCTGGAAAATCCTAGTGGGACTAGTCCCAAATTTGCACATGAAAAACACTCCCTACAAAAGCAAAAGACTGGGCAGGAGATGCAACATCCCCCCCAATGAAAAGCAGGGGTGCCACAAGTAAACTAAGAGACAACACAATAAGTGTCATGGGCCCCAAGACTGTTCAACTGCCTCCCAATCAACATAAGGAGGATTACAAATAGACCCTTAGCTGTCTTCAAGAAGGCACTGGACAAGCACCTAAAGTCAGTCAGTACCTGACCAGCCAGGCTGTGGTTCAGATGTCAGTTTGTGTTTGGCCAACAGTAACAGCCTGGTTGATCAGGCTTTGATCCACCAAGAGGCCTGGTCACAGACCGGGCTGCAGAGGGGCACTGATCCCCGAAACCCTCTCCAGATATCTCCCAAATTAGTTTACCAACCTTTGTAATTTTTCTTTTGAATCCTCAAAAGAGCTGTCACTGGCAAAAAGTTCGGTAACTATGACAACTCCTTCCCCGTACAGATGCAATATTTACTGTAAAAAAATAAAATAAAAAACTATTGCACACACAATCCAGTGCTGTACATACAGTTCACATGCATAATAAACATTGACAATGAGGTAGCTGAAAGTGCATTACTTTTATTTACCTTTTGCGGTAGATGGACAAGATTGCCCCGACTCTGAATAACTTTTATTCCTAGTCAAAGGAACCATGAAACTCCACTTGCTACTTGTAGACTGCTAGGGAGATGGATGGATAGAGGCAGTAACAGGTTTGAAATATGTATCCAAGGAAATAAGTCACTGTCTGACTTTTTTTTGGGGTTATCCTAGGTTCTCTACACATATGCTGCTATGTATGATAATCTATGTAACTGTGTTTGTGTATACCGGAATAAACTTACTTACTTACTTAATCCAACGACTGTCTGCCGGATCGATACTGCTGCCTTATAATTTCTCTAAAAGTGCTGAAGTGTTCATACGAGGGATCCATATTAGTGTTGCACACTGAATGATTGGTTGCACGTTCATAAGCGATTTTTTTTTTTTTTTTTTTTTTTGGAAGGCCACCCTTACATCTGACAGCCAAGTACATGCTCCTGATGTTATTCTGCTCATATGTGCACTTCAGGAGATACATCTGTTTAATGTTTATTCTTTAGTTTCCTGTTTTGCCTCATTCAATCAGATGTTTTTCTCCTTGCAGTAATTTATTTCAGTCATTATAGCTATCATTATTCTGTCAAAATCTAAAATGTCATATAGTATTCTACACTTAGATTCACAAAACTTTATTTATTTAGTTTTCTCATGACTTCACAGACATTCTTGTTTCATCATAATTGTATATTATACTTATTAAGTATCTACATAATAAATAAACTAAGTTGCTGCAGCTATAATACTGACACCTTCACACACATACTGTATTACCCTCTTACATTCTACATTTAACAACTTCCCATTTATCAAAACTAATTCACACTTCTGTATGACCTTGTTCCTTACATTTGTCAACAATTTCAGTTTTGACACACATTTAATTTCATGCCCACATCATAAAAACCCACCATTATGGTTACCATTCTAGCTAATACTATTCCAATGCTATTTGTCCTTACTCTCCTTTAAAAAGGTGAGGTAATTAATTTAAACTACCATATGCTGTCCAACAAGTAAACTGTATATTAATTTTAAAAATTAATAATAGAGAAGTATGTCACCCACTGCAAATATGCAGTATTTACTAAAAATTATTTTCCATTTTTTTTTGTCCTATATTTAAATCCTCAAAAAATACATCATACAAGTTTTATCCAGAATTTCTCAGAAACTTTCAAAAATATTTACTCATGATTAACATATTCCTTTTACTGAAATACCTGCACTTTGACCATCAAACATTTAATGAAATAATGTAGTTATTTATTTGGTATCTTACATTTTTTCTGGGTTGATAAACACTTGTTGTCCAGGTTTCTTAGAAACTTACCCTGTGGTACTGTGAATATTCCTAAATCCATGCATATTTTTTTTTTTAATATACTGTAACTCATACTGACAGTTTTTTAATATATTTAAATGCTTATCATTCTCCCTAAAATTTCTATTTAAAATGTCATTTGTACTGCATTTAATATATTATGATCATAAACATTAATTTCAACTGAATCTTATATTAACCTATTCAACTGCTACCTCCCCACTGTAATCTAAACCACTTTATATACAAAAATTGTTTACACTGAAATGTTCTACAAAACTTTAACCAATAAGCTGTCTGTGATGTGCTAGTACATCCACAAGAACAATGTCTGTGATGTACTAATATATCCACAAGATCAATGTCTGTGATGTACTAATATATCTATCCACAAGATAAATGTCTGTTTGTACTAGTATACATATTTCACAGCTCCCTTAAAATTGCCACGAGTAGCAAATATTGGCCTAAATACAAGGATGGGTCTGCACATGAAGTGTGCATTGTATAAGAAAAATTCCTGCCCCTCACAGAGCATGATGGGAACAGCTAATCTCTGACTCTGTATCTGAGTTAAAATAGCAACACTAGGGCATTTTCTAGGGTGGTTTTCATAGTTTTATTCACCATTTCTTTGTGCTGATCATTAGGATGGAAGCCATAGAGAAACTGATAAGTTTTACTACATTGGTTGAAGACCGGAAGCAACCTAAAACTGGCAATAAATGTTTTATTTAGGGTGATTTACCGGGGAAAGGGTGGGGCCCTTTATGGGTTTTCTACTACATACTTTTCAATTATTAAGATGGCTTAACCCTTTGACTGTTTTGGCAGTATATATATGTCTTACGAGCCAGTTTTGGATGTATATATACATGTACTCAATAATTCTAGTGGCTTCAAATCAAGCAGGAGAAAGCTGGTAGGCCCACATGTGAGAGAATGGGTCTGTGTGGTCAGTGTGCACCGTATAAAAAAAAATCCTGCAGCACGCAGTGCATGAGAGAAAAAAAATTAAGGTGTTTTTGGATTAAAACGCTGACTTTGAGGTGTATTTTCGTATAGTATTTATGGTTGTATTCTCATTTCCATGGTCTCATTTGATATATTACAGAAATAGTGGTGATTTTGATTAGTTTCACAACGAAAACGACCCTAAAATTGAGCTCAAAGTAGCGGAAATGTTTGATTTTTACCAATGTTCAAGAGTAAACAAATCACACCACACGTCCAATACATGTCAACTGGGGAGTCTAATATTCTTTCACTAGTGCACTGATATTATTTATACCATTTTTACAATAATGCAGTAGTCTGCATAGCAGTAAATCTTCTATTTTTTGTGAGAATAAAAAATCAAAATAGAAAGCAAAAGTAACATAAGAGAGGCCTGGAGACGTGACTAATGAACAGAGGATATGTTATTTTAGTGCCAAGAATGTCTGCATTGTTTATTCTGGACCCTATTTTGAAATTGGCATCTTTTTTAATTTGCATAAAATTGGCCTAATTGCCAATTTCTGACCACTTTACTGGGTGGTTAACATCAGTAAATGGGCAGTTTCTTGTACTCAATTGATAGAAAAAACGGAGTTCTAAAGAAATTGCTATGAGTTTGGTCGACTGAAACAATGGAATTGGTCGAAAATAGGGCTCAAAGTCAGCGAAATCGCTGATGCGTATATATCACTGAGATTGCTAACTTTGCGGGAGCGTAATTCCACAAGTTTTCGATCAAATTTCGTACTTGTGGTGTCATTAGCATCAGAAAAAGATTCTCTATCATTTCGTAAGAAAAAATAATTTTTTTCAAATATTTTGCGACATAGAATGACAGTTTCAGAAAGGGGCTTGCGACAGTCAAAGGGTTAAGCTATGACCAAGCATTCTTGGTCATGGTTTACTAGCCGAGAAATAGGAAAAAGTATTATTACTGTTATAACTTTTATTACATTTATGGGCGAAGTGCTAAACCTGGGGTAATGGAAGGCATTCAGAATTGATTCAAGGAATTGGAGTGCTGGTTCAATTCCTTAAATCAAGAGCCCCTCACCAGCATCAAAGAACCTCCAATGAGGGGTAGGGTGAGACAATGGATTCAAAATGAAGATCAAGTGTTAATACAGAGAGGCCTAGTACCGAATTGACAATACAATTCTTGGGAAAAAAATTTGATATGATGTATAATTTTTTTTTATAGCCAAATGTACATTTTCTATTTTCATAATATTTCTCACAAATTGAGGATTTAATTTTTCTATTTGAACTCTTTGAGGAATTATATGTTAGATTCTATCTACAAATTATAGGCTGGGAACAGACACAACACACAAAACACATGCACACCCATACATACATTGGGGTACAGACAAGGGAAGAGACTGAAGTTGCAGATTTCACTCAGAAAGAACTGGGAGTGAGTATAGTGCCCAAGATAACACCAGAAGCACATATCAGTTAAATAACCTCTGCAACCAATGCTCATTTAGCAAATTTAAGAGTAGCCATTAGGAACCTCAACAGTCATTCTGGGCTCATTATACAGCATATATTAGGCCCATCTTGGAGTATGCAGCCCCAATATGGAACCCCCACCTGAAGAAGCATGTTAAAAAACTGGAGAAAGTGCAAATGTACAAGACTTGTTTCTGAGCTAAGGGGCATGAGCTACAGGAGAACATAACAACATACAATATACTCAGGGAAACTGATACAGTAGAGAGAGAGAGAGGCTGTTGGAAAGGCAAGAAATGGGAACTCAGGGATACCATTTGAAGTTAAAGGCACAGACAAGCCAGAGGTATGTTAGGAAGTATTTCTTTAGTCTCAGAGTGGTCTGGAATTAGAATGATCTTGGCGAAGAAGTGGTGGAGGGAGGCTCCATACACAGTTTCAAGAGCAGCATGATAAAGTCCATAAAGCTAAGAGCAAGTGATTCTAAAGAATGACAAGTTAAGAGGCAGGGCGAGGATCTGAGAATCAACCCCTGCAACCACCAACAGACGAGTACAATTAGGCAAATGTGCACCTCCCCCCCCCCAACACACACACAACCCTACACACACACACCCCTACACCTAGACAAACCCCCCACACTCTCACACACACACACATATATCTTCTTCTTTCAAGAAACTGGCCGTATCCCACTGAAAAGGATGGCCCAAAAAGAAAAGCGAAAGTTTCTCTTTTTAACTTTAGTAATATACAGGAGAAGGGGCTACTAGCTTCTTGCTCCCAACATTTTAGTTGCCTCTTATGACACACATGGCTTACGGAGGAAGAATTCTGTTCCACTTCCTCATGGAGATAAGAGGAAATAAACAAGGACAAGAACTAGTAAGAAAAATAGAAGAAAACCCAGAGGGTGTGTGTATATATATGCTTGTACATGCATGTGTAGTGTGACCTAAGTGTAAGTAGAAGTAGCAAGACATACCTGAAGCCTTGTATGTTTATGAGACAAAAAGACACCAATAATCCTACCATCATGTAAAACAAATACAGGCTTCCGTTTTATACGCACTTGGCAGGATGGTAGTAACTCCCTGACACACACACATACATATATATATGTCCTGCCAAGCGAGTGTAAAATGGAAGCCTGTCATTGTTTTACATGATGGAAGGATTGCTAGTGTTTTTTTTCTGTCTCATAAACATGCAAGATTTCAGGTATGTCTTGCTACTTCTACTTACACTTATGTCACAGTACACATGCATGTACAAACATATATAAACACACCCCTCTGGGCTTTCTTCTATTTTCTTACTAGTTCTTATTTATTTCCTCTTATCTCCATGGGAAAGTAGAACAAAATTCTTCCTCCATAAGCCATGTGTGTTGTAAGAGGTGACCAACATGCTAGGAGCAATGGGCTAGTAACCCCTTCTCCGGTATATATTACTCAAGTTAAAAAGAGAAACTTTGTTTTTCTTTTTGGGCCACCCTGCCTTGGTGAGATACAGCTGGTTTGTTGAAAAAAGGTGCAGCTACCCTACAGGTAGGTACTTACAAATACTCCAAAAGTACTTACACACTTGCAGTAAAAACTACTACTGCATTTACCTCTACAATTATCATTTAAAGTAAAATAATGAGGTTGCTAAAATTAATATCCAGGTTAGTTATTTTCAGTTCTAACACAAGGACCAAAGAATAGTTGGAGACAGTTCATATTCTTGTATGTAGAATCACCTTAAAAATATAGTACGTACTGTATACGTACATAGTTTCCTAAGTTGGTATGACAAGCAGACAATGAAGTCAGCTTAATGAGGAGAAATTCTGTACTCTTAAAAAAAATATATGCACTTGCTAAACTAATGGAGGTATGATACTGCCAAAACTGAGGCACATTTCTTGATTTAGAGTCTTCTCTTTTTAAGGCTTTTATCCTCTAGTGTCTCTCTCTTTCTCTTAAAATCCTCATCACTTCTCTTAGCCGAAGACTCTCGGGTTTCCCGTCTGAGAGACTTCTGAGGTGTTTCTTCAGCCCGTGCCAGCATTTGTGTGTTGAGGAATTCCTGTTATAAAAGAAGTCAATACAGTGATGCAATAAAAATGCAGTGAAAAAAGTCTTTAATATGTAAGATGGTAATTAGTTTAACTAAGATAAATGATGCCCACTTAAGCATACTAAAGAGCAACACCATATTATTTTTTTAATTTGTTGGCAGTCTCCCATCAAGGTTGAGTAGCCCCTCCCCCCCCCCCCCAAAAAAAAAAGAAATGCATTCACCATCATTCATTCAATCACTGTCTTGGAAAGTGTGCTGGTATCACTATTTTATATGACTCTCCAAATGCAACATTCCCAATTCTCTGTTTCCACTTCCAGGCTCTAGCCAGGTTAACCAGTTTCCTTGAATCCTTTCATGTTGCACTGCATACACTCCAAAAGCAAATCAAGCATTAAAAACCGCTTGTCATCCCCTTACTTCGATCCTACAGGATCACACAGGCCTGCTGGTTGCTTTAGCCTCTAGCTCTCGAAACCTTCTGTATGCCCTCCTCTGAATCGTTTCTGGCACGACCCCTACCTCTCCTTCCTTTCACCCCAAATTTATACAACTTTTTTGTCATCCTATACCTCTTCATTTTTCTAAATACCCAAACCACCTGAACAACTCATTTTCAGCCCTCTTGAATTATATCCTTGATGACCTCACACAGCCATGTAATTTCTATACTCTGAAGTCTCTGCATAATGTTCATACCAGACATTGGTATCATACATGACATCTCAACTGAATCCTAGCTTTCTCCTAGTTGCAATGTTCGAAGTATATACCTTACACCCATATAAAAAAAAATGTTGGCACTTCTCTACTCTAGCACATTGCCTTATTGCTCCATAAACTTTTTTTTTTTTACACTGATGCCTTTATACACCATGCACCTTTTTTCCTCTCATCTCTTCTATGGTTCACCTCATCTTTTATAGACCCATCTGTCAATATGTCCATTCCTAAATAATCTACATACACTTGCTTCATGTTCATAGAGGGGTAACGGCTATATCAGATCATTATCCAGTTGTAGCTACAACTAGAGTAAGAGGTAGATGGGACAAAGGAAATCGCAACAGTAAGAGGTGAAAGTTTATAAACTAAGGGAGGAGGAAGTCAGGGAGAGATATAAGCAAGACTAGTGCAAGTATGGGAAGTGAAGGGGGAAGGGTTGAAAAGGGATGGGATAGTTCTAGAAATACAATATTAGAATATGGGGGCAGAAGTTTATGGCTATATGAGGGTGGGTGCAGGAGGAAAGAGGAGTGACTGGTGGAATGATGAGGTACAGGCTGCAATAAAAGAGAAAAAGGTAGCTTATGAGAGGTTTTTTACAAAGCAGAAGTGATATAAGAAGAGCAGAGTATATGGAGAGTAAAAGAAAGGTGAAGAGAGTGGTGAGAGAGTGCAAAAGGAGAGCAAATGATAAGAGTGGGAGAGGCATTGTCAAGAAATTTTGCTGGCAATAAGAAAAAATTTGGAGTGAGATGAACAAGCTAACAAAGCCTAAGGAACAAAAGGATTTGTCAGTTAAAATCAGAGTAGAGGAGTTAGTAGATGGGGAACTGGAGGTATTGGGTAGATGGTGGGAGTATTTTGAGGAACTTTTAAATGTCGATGAAGAAAGGGAGGCAGTAATTTCATGCACTGGCTAGGGAGGTAAAACATCTTTTAGGAGTGAAGAGGAGCAAGATGTGAGTGTGAGGGAGGTGCATGAGGTATTACATAGAATGAAAGGGGGTAAAGCAGCTGGAACTGATGGGATCATGACAGAAATGTTAAAAGCAGGGGCAGATATAGTGTTGGAGTGGTTGGTATTTTTGTTTAATACATGTATGTAGGTAGTAGGTTGACAGACAGCAACCAGTCAGGGAGGTACTACCGTCCTGCCAAGTGAGCGTAAAATGAAAGCCTGTACTTGTTTTACATGATGGTAGGATTGCTGTTGTCTGTTTCCTGTCTCATAAACATGCAAGATTTCAGGTACGTCTTGCTACTTCTCCTTACACTTAGGACACTACACATATACGTATGTACAAGCATATATATACACACCCCTCTGGGTTTTCTTCTATTTTCTTTCTAGTTCTTATTCTTGTTTATTACCTCTTATCTCCATGGGGAAGTGGAACAGAATTCTTCCTCCGTAAGCCATGCATGTTGTAAGAGGCGACTAAAATACTGGGAGCAAAGGGCTAGTAACCTCTTCTCCTGTATATATTACTAAATGTAAAAGGAGAAACATTTGTTTTTCCTTTTGGGCCACCCCGCCTCGGTGGGATACGGCCGGTATGTTGAAAGAAGAAGAAATGTATGAAAGAGGGGAAGGTACCTAGGGATTGGCAGAGTGTGTGTATAGTTCCTTCATATAAAGGGAAGGGTGACAAGAGAGAGTGTAAAAATTATAAGGGAATAAGTTCACCGAGTATACCAGGAAAAGTGTACGGTAGGGTTATTATTGAAAGAATTAGAGGTAAGACAGAGAGTAGGATTGCAGATGAGCAAGGATGCTTTAGAGTGGGTAGGGGATATGTAGATCAAATGTTTACACTGAAGCATATATGTGAGCAGTATTTAGATGAAAGTAGGTAACTTTTCATTGCATTTATGGATTTAGAAAAGGCAGATGATAGAGTACACAGAGGAGCAATGTGGCAGATGTTGCAAGTATATGGAATAGGTGGTAAGTTACTAAATGCTGTAAAGCTTTTATGAATATAGTGAGGCTCAGGTTAGGGTGTGTAGAAGAGAGGGAGATTACTTCCCAGTAAAAGTAGGTCTTAGACAGAGATGTGAAATGTCACCATGGTTGTTTAATATATTTATAGATGGAGTTGTAAAAGAAGTAAATGCTAGGGTGTTTGGGAGAGGGGTGGGATTAAATTACGGGGAATCAAAAACAAAATGGGAGTTGACACAGTTACTTTTTGCTGATGATACTGTGCATAAGGGAGATTCTAAAAAAAAGCTGCAAAGGTTAGTGGATGAGTTTGGGAGGGTGTGTAAAGGCAGAAAGTTGAAAGTGAACATAGATAAGAGTAAGGTGATGAGGGTATCAAATGATTTAGATAAAGAAAAATTGGATATCACATTGGTAAGTATGGAAGAAGTTAATGTTACCAGATATTTGGGAGTTGATGTGTCAGTGGAGTGGTTTATGAAGGATGAGGTTAACCATAGAACTGATGAATGAAAAAAGGTGAGTGGTGCATTAAGGTATATCTCTTCTTTCAACAAAATGGCCGTATCCCACCGAGGCAGGGTGGCCCAAAAAGATAAACAAAAGTTTATCTTTTTAAATTTAGTAATTTATACAGAAGGGGTTACTAGCCCCTTGCTCCTGGCATTTTAGTCGCCTCTTACAACATGCATAGCTTACGGAAGAAGAATTCTGTTTCACTTCCCCATGGAGATAAGAAGAAATAAACAAGAACAAGAACTAGAAAGAAAATAGAAGAAAACCCAAAGGGGAGTGTATATATATGCTTGTACATGTATGTGTAGTGTGACCTAAGTGTAAGTAGAAGTAGCAAGATGTACCTGTAATCTTGCATGTTTATGAGACAGGAAAATGGACACCAGCAATCCTACCATCATGTAAAACAATTACAGGCTTTCGTTTTACACTCACTTGGCAGGACGGTAGTACCTCCCTGGGCGGTTGCTGTCTACCAACCTACTAATTAAGGTATATGTGGAGACAAAAAAACATTATCTATGGAGGCAAAGAAAGGAATGTATGCAAGTACAGTGGTACCAACTCTCTTATATGGGAGTGAAGCGTGGGTTGTGAATGCTGCAGCGAGGAGGTGGATGGAGGCAGAGGAGATGTCCTGTTTAACCCGTAAACAGTCCAAACGTATATATACGTTTTTTCAACATTTGAAAGTATATGTAAAAAAGTAATCTTTTTGTTTTTCTACATTTGAAAATGTGTAAAAAAACTTAGATCTACTTTTGTAGCACAACACATGTGAACGTAGATCTGCTTGGACCGTTTACGGGTTAAGGGCAATGTATGGTGCAAATATTATGCAGAAAATTCTGTGTGTGGAAATTAGGAGGTGTGGAGTTAATAAAAGTATTAGTCAGAGGGCTGAAGAGGGGTTGTTGAGGTGGTTTGGTCATTTAGAGAGAATGGATCAAAGTAGAATGACATGGAGAGCATATACATCCATAGGGGAAGGAAGGTGGGCTAGGGGTCGCCCTCAAAAAGGTTGGAGGGAGGGGGTAAAGGAGGTTTTGTGGGTGAGAGGCTTGGACTTCAGCAAGCGTGTGTGAGCATGTTAGATAGGAGTGGATGAAGACGAATGGTTTTTGGGATCTGACAAACTGTTGGAGTGTGAGCAGGGTAATATTTAGTGAAGGGATTCACTGGCAAGACAGTGATGGAGTGAATGATGATGAAAGTTTTTCTTTTTCGGGCCACCCTGCCTTGGTGGGAATCTACCGATGTGTTAATAAAATAAAATAAAAATTCAGGGAAACCGGTTACTTTTATACAGCCGGACTTGAGTACTGGAAATGGGAAGTACAATGCCTGCACTTTAAAGGAGGGGTTTGGGATATTGGCAGTTTGGAGGGATATGTTATATTTCTTTATACGTATATGCTTCAAGACTGTTGTATCTGGGCATCTCTGCAAAAACAGTGATTATGTGTGAGTGAGGTGAAAGTGTTGAATGATGAAAGTATTTTCTTTTTGAGGATTTTCTTTCTTTTTGGGTCACCCTGCCTCGGTGGGAGACGGCCGACTTGTTGAAAAAAAAACTATTGCTTATATTAAAAGGAGTAATTATATAGTAAATGAATGTAAAACTACTAATAATCAGTGGGGGAATATAAACTTGTATTGTATTTATGTCCTAGATACCCAGGAAAAGAATGAATTTCAGAGTTTTTCCTTTGTGAAATTTTGTTTAAACTATTCCATATACAGAAATGATTAGCAATTATCTTCTTTTTTCCTTCAACACACTGGCTGAATCCCACCAAGGCGGGGTGGCAATTATATT